TGGACAACTCACCATAGGCTCTAACATGCCCACAAGTGTTCGAGTAGAGAGCTTTCAATAAGGTGATGTACTTACTAGGCACGCCTTTCAGTGACAGACACTGCCATAAGACTTCTCGATCAACGGAGTCAAATGCCGCCTTCAGGTCGAGAAATACAGCTATTGTCGGGCGTCTGTAAGCATGCCTATGTTCCAGGACCTGGCGCAGTGTGAATATTTGGTCGATACATCCACGGCCAGGTCTAAAGCCTGCCTGGTTTTCTCGGGCTTGCTGTTCCCGAGCTCCACTCAGGCGTCGGAGAATTATAGAACTTAGGATCTTAGACACTATGTTTGTCAGGCTGATTCCTCTGTGGTTATCACAAGAGGACTTCTCGCCTTTCTTGAAGACTGGGATGATCAGTGACTTAGACCAGTCGGAGGGGATCGTATTTGATTCCCATATACTGGCTAACACTTCCGTTAGCCTGACTAAGAGAACTCTACCACCATTCTTGTATACCTCAGCAGGTAGTCCGTCTGGTCCTGCTGCCCTTCCCCGTTTCAGGCTACCTACCGCTTTCTCAACTTCTTCTAGTGTTGGGGGACCTGTCTCTATGTCCCATTCAGGGTCCGACTGGATAGCGGGCAGCGCAATGGTGGCTGGAGGCCAGTTAAACTGTTCCTCAAAGTGTTCTGCCCATCGTCCCAGTCGCCTTCCCTGCGAGTGAATCGCCGATCCGTCCTTCTCCGCTATAACCTCACTAACTGTTGTTGACCATTTCCCCCCAGTCTCCTTAATAAGTCTAAATAACTGTCTACTGTTACCGATCGCCGCTGCCTTTTCCATCTCTTTAGCCTTTGCTGCCCACCACTGTTCACGATCGTTGCGCAGACTTTTCGTCAGTTTATTTTTAAGTTGCGCTCGCTCTTCATTGTACTCAGAGCCTGCAGGGATGCATTCACGTGCATCCATTAGTTTGGAAGAAGCTGCTGATATCCACTGGCTCTTTTTAGCCATTATCTTGGAGTCGGCTACAGTCTCCAGTGCTGCTTTTACAGTAGACTGAAGATGGCACCAAGCTTCTTCTGGATGAGTGACAGTCTTTTGTTCCGATAACTGCCTAGCCAACTTCTCACTGAACACGGCTTTGGTGTTTTCGTTGTCCAGCAGAACTCGTAGTGGTTTTGTTGCCAAATTTTTTCTACGTCCATTGAGACGCAGGCATATACGTGCTCGGACCAACGCATGATCGCTGTCCAAACACGTACTCCAGAAGGAGCGGCAGTCTTCCACCGATCCTCTCCAGCGATGACTAATAGCAATGTGGTCTATCTGTGTCCATCGCTGAGTCGAGCTCGGTGGACGCCAGGTCAGACAGTGCCTTTCTTTATGTCTGAAATTTGTGCTGGCTAAAAATAGGCGGTTATCTGAGCATAGTTGTAATAGGCGATCACCGTTATCTGTACGTTCAGCTGGGATTCCGAAAGTGCCACCTAAGTGCCTTTCTGCCTCACTCAGTCTACCCACCTGTGCGTTGAGGTCACCTGCAACAACCACTACGTCCGAACGTTTGGCTTTCGAGAGGAGGTTAGACAGTTTATGGTAGAACTCGTCCTTCACTTCATCCGAACTACAGTCAGTGGGTGCGTAAGCAGAGATTACAAAGAGACAACGGCGAGTCTCACTATTCCTTTTAGTTCTCACTGTGCCGTTCAGCCTCATAGCGCAGAGGCGACTATCAACTGGGATCCAGTCTAGTAGTGAGTTTTCTGCCCTGGTGCTTAATGCTATACCTACACCTGCAAGACCACGAGAGCTAGCTATCGAATCTCCAGAAACTCGAAGGGTGAATTTTGCAGATTCACCAGATTGGTCAGGAGAGGTCAGGTGAATAACCACACTTGGGTCCTGTATGCGTGTCTCACAAACACAGCACACATCCATGCCCGAGTTGCTAGAGTCTTTGCCAACGAAGCCTGTTGGCCAATTTGACGGAGGGTGCGGACATTGAAGGCTCCAATATGTAATTTGGAGCGTGGTTTAAGGAGACCAGGGACTGTTCTGTGGACTCAGATCGTTGTCGAAGGCTGCAGAGGTAGGAGAAATTGAAGATGATGCAGCATCATTAATTAAGAGACGTGAAGGAAGATTAGAAGGTAATGATGGAGGAGGAGGATAGCAGTCAGAAGAAACTTGGGTGCTGACAGAGTTGTGAGGGCGGTTGACACTTCCCGGCTGCCCACACCGTGGAAGGCTATTTCTTCTTAAGGTACCTGAAAGAGATTTGTGTGACCGCAGAGCCCATCGGACATCTGCTTGAGGCCTGTCACACCCAGCCTTTTGAGTATGATTATTTTGAATTTTTGTATTTTTGGGGCCGGATGAGCGAAAGGAAACGACAAGTGAACCAACACCGCCGGCCCGGCAGACCGTGGGGCGTGGTGGAGTGTGTTATTTTTGGGGCCGACCTTTTCTAACCCCCCCTTCCACTGAGAAGGCAGCATCAGCTTGGCACTGCTGGTCATCCAAGGGAAACACCTTACTGCTGTCACACCCCATCCAGCTAGCAGCAGTACGACTTCGCCCTCAGACCCCCATCATAGTTAGCAATTTACACTATGACGGTAACTGCTTTTCGTCTAACCACTACCCAACAGACCTTTCTGGTATGGTAGGACCTCGAGGGAACAAGCGTTCCACCAGCATAGCTCGTTGGGTCATTGTGATATGCAAGCCCGACCACCACGTCAAGGTAGCAGCTATCGGTCGGGTAGCAGCTATCGGTCGGGGTAGCAGCTATCGGTCGGGATTTCGTCCTGTCATCATTACTGATATCTGCATTGTCTGCGATGAAAAACTTGGTGTCGATGCCACTCTTTTTGAACTCAGTGAGAGTCATCTATCTGTCAGTTTCATGACAGGAGTTAAAATTAACTCAGTACTTCATATTTTTGATATCTCTTTGAAGAGGATTCCTGATGACTCCCTAAAAAGACCAATTCCTAGAAACCCAACTTGGAATGGATAATACACTCACTTTTGAAGCTGGGTACCGCCAAGCCAAAAAAGGAACTTCGTTCGTTCACTCTACACCAAAATCTGAAGAATATACACCAATGACACCAGACAATCAGTTAGAATACCTTCAGAAAGTGCTTCTTCAGAATATCTATCACCCAAGTTTCATGAAAAAAGCATGGAGCCAAAATAACAACATGAACAAGTTCGTACTTTTCCTAAGGAGACCTGAATATTGAATTCAGAGGGAACAATGCAGCAGAAATACTGAAGAGTCGTCTCTCCAAAGCTTTCCGAAAACACTGTATGCCATCGAACTGCGAGTAGTCTTCTTCAGTGACCAGTTAGTGTGTGTAATTGGGTCCTGCCGGACTTCATTTGCATCCGCAGTAGCTCAGTGTTAACGTCGCTGACTACAGTACTTGGTAATGTGGGTTCGCATCTCAGGTGAAACGTCAGTTCCGTCGACGTTGCAGGTGCATCTTGATGGCGAGTGTCAATAAGTTTGATACCTAGGTCCCGCCGTGCTTCCTATCGATTGTCTTCAACCAACTAACAAGGTAGTATTCATTACTGACTGACATCAAAGAACCACTGGACAGCTGTTTCAAGACGTCAGGCTCCTGATTTTAGTAGCTAGGAGGGTTGCAGATACACATTCTTGAGGAATCTCTTGCTGGGATGAAACATCTCTCCGGTACTCCTTATGAATACTATTTCGAAATAATATAATTTTCACCAGTGTTTAAGCTATATTAAAGTCCCTTCATTGAAGTAAACAGAAGTAATGTTGTTGTTCGCTTTGCAAGCGGTATTTAAACCCTATTCAGTTCTTATACCTATAACTTTTAGTCCTAATTTATTTTGGAAACTATTTTTTATTTGAACATACATTTTTTCTGATTCTAAAAACCTTGGTTTTATTATCACCGTCCTCTGATTTTAAATAATAACTCACATAGAAAAATGCAACTGTGGATCTTTATGTGAATTCATGATTATCTACACATATGGCAGAAAAAAAGGCTTCTTCAGTTAACAGGACAGATAATTGGTGTGGTTATCTGTCTCTTGATTTAGATGTATTCAGCTTTAACTGCAATAACTAATGGAGCACAGTTACACTCATTCACGTTTTCAGCTGATAGTAAGAAATTCCCCTTCATACCAAGTCCAAAATCGTTTTTATCACTAGTAATAGAAGTCAGTAGGAATATCCTCTCATCATTTTACTACACAATTTAAAGGTTATTTGTGCAAACGCACGGTTTTCCTTGAATTGTTTAAATGAAACGGTGAAATAAAAAATAGCAAGTGACTTCCTTCGGTTTTCATGACTCAATGAACTAGCAGATAACCTTCTGATATTGAATAGACTGTAAACTAGGTTCCAGTCTTATTGAAGGAATCATCACTCACTGGGATACAGCTAGGGCCGGCTGACGAGTCTTAGGTGGGGGTGAAAGCTAATCATGAATCTCTATGACATAGACATCCAGTCAAATAACAAAATACTTTTTAAAGCATTTTGCTTTCAACTCAAGGTTGTTTGATCGTATTTTTAATTATTGTGGTTATTTTACTGACAGTACCTAAGCAGTGAATTTGATTCAGTTAGGGAAGTTTAGCTCAATCAATTCACTGATATTCTAACCTTCTAATGAGAAATGTCGCCGATAGGTTGGCAAAAAATTCGTGTTTAAAAGTCTGCTTACGAATCATCATATCGTCTCTTGTTCAACGTCTGCTTATTTCCTCTATTCACTGTGGGTCACAAGTTTAGACATTCAGAATACATCTGAGTGGTAGCGGTTAAAAACTTGATCCAAAAAATTATTTGAGTAAATGGATTGTATCCTTAAATGCTATACAATAGATACAGTTTACAGTCAAATGCATGAACTCTGACACGGTTGGTTGTTCGCATCATTTTCCCATACAGCAAATTAGGAGTTTTTTCTTAGCATTTATTTATTTAAACCATTTCCTGATCCCTTAGAAGTTATGAGCATCCAGAAACAGGAGATCATTATTACTCAGATGACTGTTCCATGCGCAAATGCAAGTCCAGTGATCATCAGCGATCATCTTGCAAATTAACTCATCTACCGTCAATATATAACTTACTTTTTGGTGCGTACTATCTTCCACCGACGCGGTTAACTGACTGGTTACCACCTGAGTTATATGATCCAAAAAACAAATTATTCAACTTGACTGACTTCTCATCCGTATTTCAGTCAGTTTCAATTGAGGAGATACGCCAAACAATAAAGCCATGCACAGCTAGTGATGTGTTCAGTCTAGGTAAATTGGTTTATTTCGCTTTGCCAGTAGCCAAAGAAAACTACCAGGATAATATTGCAGTCTATAATGCTCCTAGTAACCCATTGGCTTTAGTTTCATCGGCTGTACAGTGCAATGCAGATGAACGTTTACCAATGAAGCAATTCAATCGACTATTGATACACTTATTTTGGGTAAGTTAAAGTATTCATATATAAATTTAGATTAAAACCTAAATGGTTATAAGTAATTATTATAAATAAAGAGTGACTGTATTGCTACCTCATGTTACAGCAATATCTTAAAGCAAATAATGTTACTGGTTGTATGACGAGTAACTTCAACTGAGTGACTTTAAAGGCTATCGTAGTAACGACTGAAACAACTGATCGGTTTTCTTTATTTCATAAAATCAAAAAATCTAATTGGTTATTTCAGTCTTTGCAGGGGTGACCTTTAAAGTCACTCTTTTAATTATCCCTTGCCTACTGCTACAGCATATATAAATATCACTTCGGTATTGATAGAGTTTTGGGAACTCGGTATTTTATCACAATGTTTTCTAAGTGCTACCAGTGAGACATTCGGTATACTTAAAATGAGAAGATCTAAAGTGCTGCTTAAGATGTTTAACAATGAAAACTTACTTTTAAACAATGAAACGTGTTGTTTGATGGTTTTATTTGTGTCCCGAATAACAAGTTAATTGAACACAGTGACTTGAAGTTTTATTTAGTGGCATGGAAACTTACTGTACAGCATATTGACGTATGATAAGATGAAATCAATATAAGTTTTCAATGGATTATCTTGAACACACTATATTTAACTGGAAAACAAATCTTGTCGTGCAATAAATCCATACTACACATTTAGTTTTCCTGACAAAGTTGAAAGAATAAGAGCAAAGATATTCGCAGAACAGGATGAACTGATTTTATTTCACAGCCTTTCTTCAGCAGCAGACAGCCAACATATGCAATGAATTAGTAGTAGTAGTGGTAGTAGTAGTAATAATAATAATGACATAATATTCTTGAAATATGTAGCAGCAAGTGGAATAATAGTCGGAAACCTTATTAAAAATCATTGGCAGTTTAGATCTGATGAGATCAAAAATTCTGAGGCTGTTAAAAAGGGGGGCAACAAACAAACAAAAGTGTAAAAGAGCCAGTAAGTTACGTAATTACACGAAAAGATTAGAAAACTATCAAGCTGAATGATTAACAGTTAGTAAGTACCTAATAAAGCGATGATGCAATCAAAAAGGGAAGATTACATACAAACATATGTAAACAATTATAAACAGTTATCAGGGTTAAGAAAAGTTTATTACAGTCTCTAGCTGAGTACAAAGGTCACGTTGAGATCTTTTAATGGTGAGAGCTTCTTCAAACTACAATAAACGTGGCGTTCTTTGTTTGTTGATTTTCCTGAAGGATTATGGAACATGTTTGATGTCGTGTTTCCATCAGTTACCTGGAAATTGCTATAGTAAAAACCTTGCTACTTTTCAGACACGGATTTTTGGGAATATGCTATTAAAATTGAATAGACTGTCTTGTTTCCGTTCTTCCTATGTACTTACCTCCACGAGTACATGTGAATTGATATAAACATTTGGAGGTAACGTGAAATAAGTATTTGTTCAATTTCGATATACAAAGTGAGATCAGTCTGATAGCAGCGAAGCTCTTTGTCAGTGCATCTTTTATTCTTCTGTCTGTTCTTTCAGATGTCTCATCATCCTTGAGCGGAAGATGAAGGAAAACAGGTTTCTTTTCAACAGTTAAGGTTAAATTCTTTTCTATACTTCATGAAGAACTTATTTAGATATCCATTCTCCATAGGAGTCTTTACAACAACAGCTAATTCTTCATCCTGTTTGTCTTTTAGGCATAGTGTTCTTATTCTAGTGTAGAGCAAACTGACTTAACCATGCCAATAGCTGACAGCACAGAAACGATTAAAGTACTGAGTAATCCACATGTCTGCTCAACTATACCATTACATCTCGGTTTCATACCTAGATTTAAATAACTCAGTCCGTTATCACTTTTGTATGTCATTGTGAAATTTATATTTGGGTGAGGCTGGTTGAAGGTATCGAACAACTTTTTAACACAATTCATATTATAACAAACAATGAAAGCATCATCGACATCCTTGTGGTAATATGTGGTCTCCTTGATCATAGAGTTCATACATGTTTATTCGAGATGAGCCGTAAGATTTGTAATTATTGCTCGTGTATTTCCCTGACTCACTACCTCAGGGTTAGTTTTGGATTACAAATCTTCATTGATTGGTACATATTTAAATGTGTTATGTTATTACTACTGATAATTCATTTCACTTGTTTGCAGATGATGAAAGGCCGTGAAATAAAATCAGCCCATTTTATTCTGCAAATGGTTTTGTTCTTGCTTTATGCAAAACTATTTTAGACCATACATTTCTCTGCAAGCATCTTTACGTACCTCATCACTTCAAAGCAGTGGAATAGTTGGGAATTGTGAAGTGTAACACTGGTAACCACTCAGACGAGTTTGCAACAGGCGAAAAAAACATCTGCAATTCATCAACCTACTATATTTCTAATTAATGGAACTAGTCCCTTTCAATTCAGAGTGCCATTATGAATATTCTTGAACTGATTGTTTTACCAGTTATTCACATAGCCATGACAATGCTGAGATTTTGTTGGCCTTTTGCTACACAGTGTGTATTTCTAACCGTAATCACGTTAATGATCTAGCCAAAGATCAAGAACTATATGCCATAACAACATTCAAATTGTGACGAGGCTCGTTGGGTATGGTGACGCACGTCATTTTCTTGTCTGTGACGATAATAAATTCCTATCAATAACGTGTATCATGGAAATGATAGTTGACCAGTTTATCGTTTCTGTGGGACTAGCATTTAGGAAATTGAAGTTAGGTATAAGTCGCAGTTATGGTGGTGTCCAGTAACCAGTTAGACAGATCATCATAATTCAGAAAACATTAATATTCCCCTGAATGGAATCAGGTTAGAACTTTTCTCGGAAACTTGTTAAAAAGTAGCCTCATATAAACACTATTGGCCTTATTAAAATGCACTCCTTTTCTTCCCGGGCTTATTATTATTCTGCTTCCATTCGGCCTGCTTCAGTCAGTCAATCGGTATCAGTGATCCACATATGGTGGGTATGGTTCATAGACATGCATTTATCAACTCAACCACTACGCATTATGCAATCTCCTCTCAACAACTCAGCAAATTAGACATACTGCAGAAACACAACATGAAATAGCACTCAACCAACTTCCCCTTAATATTTCACTTGATTCCATGTTGATGACAAGCAAATGAAGGCAGTTCCACTAGCTGCTTACTAGTTTCTATTCCCTTTCTTCACATAAAACAAATAGTTGTAGTCGTTATCTTGTGCATCCTGGTGATTGCTTCAAAGGGTTTGTGAGTTGTTGTCTAGGTAACACAGTGGACAGTGGAGATAATGTTTTGTTGTTGTATTGTTACAAGTGTGTAGCGGTGAATTAGTGACAGGAATGTTTGTAGTTGGTTGAATGAAGCGGTGTTTGTTGAGGGTGGATGTGTAGAGTGGAGTAATGATGTGTAATATGTAACAAATTATGCATATGTATATCTGCGTATTGTGTATGCATGCTGTTTAAATATGGTAGTAGGGATAAGCTTAGAGTTGTTGTAATGATAATCCTGAGTGATGGTGATAGTAGTAGGATGTGTTGCTTATGTGTTTTGTTTTCCGAAGTTGAAGTTGAGAGTAGTATGATGGTGAGTGAGTTGACTTTCCTCTTATAATTGCTCTCTGACTATTTTAAAGTGTTATTTACATGGGATGGAGATAGAAGTGGTGGAGGACACTCAACTAATTCATTGACAATTTTCAGTGCCAAGACATAAGTTTTCATTGTTTTAAACGATGTTAATAGAAACGTTAGCCTATTAAACATGTTATAATTATAGATCTTTTACATTTGTACTCGTTCCTTGAATTTTATGTTAACAATAATGTGTAGCAATTAGCCTATTGTTCATAATAATGATAAGCATGAAGCAACTCAACAGAATGTGAGTTATTTAGGGTTTGCTCACAGTTGTCTTTCTCAAATGCTCAGTTGCATTCCCTGTTGTTTGTTTTTATGATTAGTGATAAAGTTAGCATTTTTAGTGTTTATTTCATGGAGAAATCATGCACCTTGAGCACTAGTGGATATCAGTCTTTTGAGCATCCTCTGAGATGATATGGGAATGTTTGGAGTGAATTTTTCTTCGTCATATGGTTGACCTCTACTCTTGTTAACTGATTACACCTAAGTTTGTAGCACAGAACACTGTTGTCGAATCCTCTTAGTATCTTTATTATTAGATGCAAAGAACTATTCTTAGAGCTTGATATTCGGTGTAGGTGAAAAAGTTTTTGTTCTCTGGAAACGTTTTGCTATTTGAGACTCAGGTAAGATATCTGTATGGAATTTTATTAATCAGTACACTCTGTTCTACTGTACATTTGTGTGACAGTAGCTAAGTGTTGAAAGAGGTGTTAATTTTGGAGGTATTTGGAAGCCACCATCTTGGGATGACTTGTGTGTACTGAATTCATTTGTATTGCACATTTAATTATTTCTCATTTTCCATGGGATCTGTATCAAAGTGAGGTGTGAGGAACAAATTATTAGATTCACGCTTTTGAGAGACTTTGAATGAAAATCTGTAGGGGAAAGTCTGAACTGAGGATATGAGGCGTAGAAAAGATCTAACAGCAGACTTGACTTAGATAATTCTGAGGTGTTAATCTGTCTGAATAGAATATTGATGAGTTTTACAAGACACTAGTTAACAAAGCATTTCAGTATTACTGATGATAAGTCGTTAGCAGTGAGAGGTGTTTTCCGAGGTTGAAGTTGAGAGTAGTATGGTGGTGAGTGAATAGACGTTCCTCTTATTATCGTTCTCTGACTGTTTTAAAGTGTTATTTACACGGAATGGAGATAGAACTGATGGAGGACACTTAACTAATTCGTTAATTTTGAGTGTCGGCAAACGGTTATATTGTTTATTGACATGGTTTTTATTAATTTATTTAGCCCTATGCTGTTTTATATATCATGAGAATGCAACTGAAACCATGCAGGCAGCTCTGAAGACTGCTTGACCTTCAGAGGTATGACTGCCAGTATTTAAGTTATTTCTTCTTAGACATCAAATTTCATGGACTTAAATTCCTGTATGCCATTAAAAGACTTTTAGTTAAGTGGTGTATCTATTCAGTAACTGTTCCATTTTCTACTACATTCACTTACGTCTTCATTTTATCTGTTGATAAGCTGCCCTACAATTCTCTGCAGTAACCTAAAACTATTCAGTTAAATCAAAAGTAGTGTATTTTAATGGTGCTGTATATACGGAATGAGATACAGATTAATAGAGTGCTAAGATCAAGCAACAGGTTCGCGTTGCAGTTTGCTATTTTTACATTTAAATTCTATGAAAAATTTATAACTGTTTTTGCAAAGGCTTTGGATCAACGATTTATCTGTTTGGGTATTCGACTGTCAAGCAGCGAATATTGGCTTCTAAACCTACCTTAGATAATGCAACCTAAGTAACCAAGTAGCATAATAAATCTTCATAGTCTAGTAAAAATACCTTAGCCGGATTGAGCAGTGTAACTATTATTTTAGATAGAAATTATGTGTTTGGATTACAGGAGGCTGAGGATTCATTGCAGTTTCTGAACAACAACAAGTGGATAAATAGAGTGCATATGTTTTAATCACGTAATCATTCAAATTTAATTGAGAATGGTTACTTAGTGACACAGATGTTAATTTCTTGATTTGTCAGAGACACTTGGCTTTGATTTGTAAACTTTTCAGTCACCATGCACATTACTCATGAGTAGCTTAAATGAGATGTTACATCACTTCTGATTATTTTAAATAATGGTCATCTGGAGACGTATAACAATGGCAGGTTTTCTGTAATGCTCATGTTTTTAGCATTTATTTCGTCTTATGCTGTTTGTGTTTTGGTGTTTATTGATATGAAGCTGGGATCAAATGTTGTGATATCACCTCAGAAGCTAGAAGTGTTGGAAGCATTTTCAAGTGAATGGAATCAGCTACAGATTTGGTTTTGATATTCAAAGCTTCATGAATATCAGATCAAATTTTGATCCTGAAGTCAACAAAGTATAAAATCATAACACCTTATAGACATGAAAAAATTTGAAACTACTGTGTTGCTACAGTAGTTTCAAATTTTTTCATGTCTATAAGGTGTTATGATTTTATACTTTGTTGACTTCAGGATCAAAATTTGATGTGATAAAGGTGAACAGGTTGAGCATTGGGTAAATGGTATATAAAGGGAATCAGAGTCTAGTGAAACAGAAAAACAAATTTTTGACGTGTTTGATGGTGGCTAGCGATGCTCCAGTTACTTAATGCGTAACACTCCGGCGTTCAATGCGATGGATGCTTGATTCGAGTCTTAGTGGGGCCTACTACTCACTGGTATGCAGGTGCATCTGGTTGATGAGTCACAAATGGGATGAAACGCACTTCCTGGACTCCACTGCTAGCCGCTACCAAGTGAACTACATCAGTTTGCTTGTTTGCAAATGTACATAATAACACAAGCAAAATGAATTTCTCACACATATTACGTTTCGCATGCATACACACCCATTCAGATCTTCAATTTAAAGTCACAGACTAATAATTAATAACGATAACATTTATTCACATATTATTACCATTTTTATGTGGATACAAGAATAACTTGATCTGAATCGCCTTTCTTTACTATTTCAGCATGCGGTAGCTTGTATATGTTTTATCCTCTGAAGACATGGCTTCCACGGGGTCGCCAAACGTTAAAAATAAAATTTTCCGCATCACTGAAATTTTACAAATGTATCTCGTCTATCATTTTGTATACTTTGCATTCAGAGATATTTACCTTAAAACACAACAGTTAGCGAAATAACAACCTTAGAACACAGACGGTAACGTAATAGGCTTTCTTGTCAAAGTTTCAGTGGTATAGCGTCGTGCTTTTATTTGCCGAACTAAGGCTGAGATCGGAAGCATAATGCATCAGTAGTAATGATTTTTCGTGTTTACCAATGGTCAGGTGTCCAGTATAGGATTTCACTTCACCATACTGTGTGGCTATAAAACGTGGCCATTAAAAGTGGAGAACATGGAGAACCTTCATTTGTTCAATCACTGACGCCTTCATAACACTGCCTGTTTGTCGCGGAACCACCAGATTAGTAAAGCAGAAATTAGGTGTTCAATTTTAGGCAAAAGAGGTAAGTAAGTTGATGAGGCTGTGAAATTCAATCAAATCATGTGGCTGCAATATGTGTTGTGTATACCTAGTCATCATTTTCATGCAGTATTAGTTTAAGTAGGTTTCGGTTCGAAAAGGATTATCTATGAAGTCCTTCACAGCTGATTAGAGGTGTGTGAAGGAATCTAGACTACCAAGTTGGGGTCTGCACGACCGTCGATACCGGTGATTAAGACTTTATTTGACATGACTTAGAATTGTTCAAGTGGTACATGTGCATCCGCTCAGTGTCATCATCGTAACCGTGATAACACATTTCACTGCTTGCTTTGCTACCTTTTCATTTGCTGTTATAACTTCCTACGGTTTTACTTTTTTTCTATTTCTTCCTTATTCTTCTTACTGCCCGGTATCTTGATGTGCTGACGTGAAACATGGCAAATTGGGGCATCACGCAATAAGGCTAGATTCCATACTGATATTGGCTAACTGAGTAATAATGATGAAAACTCATGTACTTTCACACAAGCGGTATTAGACTATGAACTGAAATTGGCTATGACAATCAACCAGGTTGTTATTCACTAGAAAGTCTTTCTGTTCCAGTTCTAAAACAACAAAAATGAGAATACAAAGGAAACTTTTATCACAATCTCTCCATTTGGCGACATCATTTTATGTTATTCTTTATGAGATCTTGTTTCATATGAAAGACAACGGTAATAATACACCTCATGCTTCACAAATTTTTATGTAAATGCTTGTAGTTTTGTAGGGACTTTTAAATTAGTGTGGTATTCTTTGCCATCTTACCGTCTCAGTACATAGGGTTTCTTGTTGCGGTATCAGATGTTAGTAGAACCGTTAATCACGAACAGTCGACTGTAATACAAGCATCATTCTGTTACCGAGTAAGCTCACTGTGTTTTAAAAACAAGAACTGTCAGAGTTTTGTCGCCAGCTTTTCGCTTTTGAGCTGCCATATCAGTACTCAACGTCTGTTTGGTTTATCTTTACAAAAAGCTTCATACCTTCTTGGTCAAATGTCTGATTTTTAAATTCTATTTGTGGTGAGTGATATATTTGCAGTTTGTAAGGCTGCAGAAATCTTTTTAAGAAAAAAAAGAATATTGTGAACCAAAGGAATACTAATAGTTACTGTTTTAATATTTTGTAGGTGGAATATGATCGTGAAAAATCACCAAAAGGTCTATTTGAAAATATACCCCCATGTCCCTTGAGACTTTGTGATCACAAATGGAAGCCACGTTATTCTGAACCTGTCCCAATTTTGTACACTAGGAATCCAATCAGTAATCCTTTTCCAAGAACTATTTCCCCAATTCATGGTCAGGTATGTTTCACTGCTTCATATAATGTTCAAAATTTTTTACATGTACCTTATAATAATCTCCATGCTACAAAGTGGACAGCAGAAAATTATAACCACTAGTACTCCTCATTCTTACATTCATGAATTAAGATTACCTTTATTGAAGTATTGTGGGGTCATGCTTCCTGTTGACGCCACCAGATGAATAATGACATGAACCGTCCGAACGCATTGATGAGTTGACAACGACTTAAACAGCTCAACGTTGATAGTGGGTGCTATTAGCTTGACAGACAGACAATAGCATAATGATAAACACAACAGAGACAGAGATGTCTGAGGATTCATATCAGCTTCATGGTTGCATCATTTGTTATTCATGTCACTAGTTTCCTTATTTTTTAGAGTTTTTATAAATTCCTGACAGATTCTTACGGTTGAGTTTTAATCTTTCTTTTAGAAATCTGTTTCCATAACTGGATTTCACTGATTAATAGTGCCCTGACTGAATCCGAGTGTATCTAAAATTGTAAGAGATGGATTCACTTGGAGTTTAGTTGCCATATGGAATGAGTTAGTTCTCTGTCAGCAAAAGGATACCAATAATGACCATTCATGATCCGTCGTCTAATAACATTTCCTGTGTGTAGTATTTCATAACGCAGAAGCGTCAGTGAGAATTGTTTTAGATTTAGTAGGTTGAAACCCAGTCTTGGATTTCGGGTAGACAATTTTGAGCATTGTTACACACACAGTAAGTGGGATATTTCTGTTATTGAACGACTAAACTAGTGGTCTTACCTACGTTTATTTATCCTTGATTATTTTTAGTGAAGTTTGCCACTAAATTACTGTATGATATAGGTCTTATTTTCAGGTATGCTTTTAGTTGACCAGGAGCTGTTATCTCAACGTGGCGGTCAAGCTTATATATCACAATGACCAAAAGAGATACATTGGCTAGAAGGCTTGTTTCGTCAAGGTCCTACCGTACTATAAAGGTCTGTTGGTTAGTGGTAAGACGAAAGGCAGTTAATGTTGTAGTGTAAATTGCTACGCTACGATAGGGATCGGAGGTCGAGGTTGTGCTGTTGACTGGGTGATGTGTAACAGCAGTGTCACGCTGATGCTGCCTTCTCGATAGAAGGCACACCTTTAAGCACACTCTCCTCTGTTCCATGGTCTTCCCGTGACAGTTGTATGGGTTTTTGCTATCCCTTGTTAAAGCAACCAAATCTGAAAACAACAATCCGAAAAAGGCTGTGTTCATGACAGGCCTCAAACAAATGCCCCATGACCTATGCGGTCACATAAATCTTTGTATCTACCTAATACCTTAAGAAGAAATAGGTTTTGATCATGTGAGAAGGCGGAGAGTCCTAACCGCCTGCACACTTCCAGTTGGAAATTAGAATCCAATTTTGTTGAGTATTAGAATCAGCCATATGATATTATGAAGTTTGAAGTCATAAGAGACAGATGTCTCTAGAATATTCTTATTCTGCTCATTAACGATCAGAAAACCAACAAGCAGATAGTAAAAATAACTACTGAAAAAGTGATGTACAACATCTGATTCCTTAACATTCGTGTATTAAAGAACGAATGAAACCTCTTTGAAATATTTTCAGAAACACTTAGCCAATTATGTAAACTAACTAAAAGAAACATCACCTAATGTGCACATCTAAAAGAGTAGAGTTTATATGCTGACAGCGCGAACGTGCATTTCGTTGTTTTAAAGAAAATACGTTTTACATTTTTTGCGGTATTAAATACACACAGTACTGTCAAATTACCAATAACTGTACTAAAGGTTTTCATTTGTGATAAGAAAGTACTCTGGGTGCTCCAGAAATCCTAGTACAGTTTATTAGATGATTACTTGCTTGACAAAGGACCATTTCTTTCTAAACTATCTTAGAAAGAAGGAGGCTGTCCAGGTTTAACCTTTGTTTCTTACCACATACCTCAATCTCTTATATTAAACTGCAAAGTAGAGTAGATAATAGTTGCAACTTCTTCGGAACTTCCATGTTTGAGAAACTACTTAACGTGATTTTCAGTTTTTTGAAGAAGTGTCGCTTTCATTCATGCAGTGGAAATACTTTGTTGATTAACAGCCATTTCAAGTGAAATAAGCTTTGTGGTCGATCATCTTCATTCACCCAGAACTGTCTAACTGAAGTGTTAGCCAGTATGTGGGAACCAGATGTGATCTTCTTTGGTTGGAATCAACCTGAATAACATAATGTCAAAGATTCTAGGTTCTATAACTACCAGACGTCTAAGTGGAACTCGGGTAAAACAAAACCAGGAAAATCAAGCAGGTTACAGATCCAGATTTGGGTGTACCGACTATATATTTACTCTTAACCAAGTTCAGGAACACAGGCACACTTATAGACGCCCGGTTCTAGCTGTATCTCTTCACCTGAAGGCAGGGCTCGATCCCGTCTACCGACTGGTTTTATGGCGATTCTCCCTGCTGATAAGGACAAAAGTAAGTACATCCATATATTAAAGGCTGTGCAGTTGAACACCCGTGGGCTTGTTAGGGCATGTCCCGAGTTGTTAGGTGAGTTGCTTGGGTAGAGTGATGCCAACCAGGGATACCTTCTGCCTTCATTAAAGTTTGAATGAACTGCGTTTCAGTTCGCTCTGTTCTAATATATAACTGAAATATGGTCAACAGAAGTAGAAGACATGAAGAGGCTGTAGGTTGTCAGCCGCCGTTGGCTTCGTAGCACAAGCCATATGTCGTGTGTCGTGTTGTCGCCGTGTCAGTAACGTAGGAGTGAGGCATAAAGCTTCAGGGAGAAGAGGAAAGTAATTTCATGAAGTTGCTAAGTTCCATTGGCCAAAGTGACTGAGATATATATGTTACGCGTGCCTGTTCACTGTCTCCTTTGTACAAAGTTAGCTGAAGTAGTTTCAGACTAGAAAGTTAGAGGTGGCCAGACTTAAGCACACGGCCAGTCCCTTAACTCTCTGACTGTGAGCCATGTAGGTCAATGAAGACTTCCTAGTTGGGGTCCACATGTCAAGAGGAACCAGTAATTTGAGACTGTAGGTTATGTGGCCCAGATGTATCTCCATCTTAATCTACATGAATTTAGTATTATCTTATTCCTCCTTGCCTTCTTTTGATGGCTTCCCTCATTTTTGACCGATTTTTCTTTGTTCCTTTAGTGTGTTCTCGCTTATTGTGCTGATTTGAGACGTAGCAACCTGAAACACTACGCGGTAATGCCAGGTCCTATGCTGGTTTGTCTGTCTGTATACTTAAGACTGTTTAGGATACAATTTGATGCCTAGTTGTTAATGGTTCACCACAAAAAATTTAAAACTGTAATTATAATCATGTAGGATGACTTCTAAGTTATAAGATCTTTTTAGTAGTAATTCTCAGTAACGTAGTCAGTCATAGATGTCTGTCTAAATGGTTGACCACCGTAAAGTCATGGGAATTATTCGTGTACATTACTCAGCTTATGACTTCTGACTATTCAGAGTAAAAAAGCGACGGAAAGGTAAAAAATCAGATTGAAATTATTTTTGGAACCAACGCTTTGGCTAGTGGAATTATCTACAGAAAACTAGCCTAGTCATTTGAGATTCAAGCAGGCTAATAAAATAGTTTAAGATAAGTTTGTTCTTACTGTTTCTTTTGAACAGACTGAACGGAGTGTTTCAGTTACACGCCGTTTCTGTTACGGAGTTACATTCGATAATTCTATGTTACATCTATTTTGTTATCTATAAAACGTTGACAACAAAGCTAATCACTGGGGATTACATATGAAATCAACTTTGTTACCTGTCATCTGTTTATTTCATGACATCAAATAATTCTTTTACAAACTACCTTTCCCTACCCATTATAATTATCATGAGATTTACTGAAGGTAATTAGTCAATCTCCTTCAACAATGCAGGAAAATTATAAACATCCAGGCCATAGTTGTTACGAATGTCTTGAAAGAAGTCAGGTCTAATCACTATAAAAGTAAGTTTTTATATAATCCTAACGCGTTTGTTCTTCTGAAGAAGCTGTAGCATACACAGCGAAATGTTCAGGAGAATCTTGTTTTGATTTTCTGGGATTGCACTAAAACTTACTTATATAATAGTGGTAAGCGTTCGTGAAGTATAAGAGGCTGTATCAAGTATCACTCTACCAAAAGTGAGTCTCAAGTTCTTAGTGTATGTAGATGAAATAACATCCTGTTTGGGTTCTAAACAATTAATGGATTTTTAGCTCATGATCCAACAGACAGCTTATTTCAGTCTTAAAATGAAATGGTAATGAGTGAAAAAAGTATTGAAAGATCTTAATCAGCTGAAAGTATTTAGTTAACTGGGAAATAAATTGTTTAGCAAGATGTAAAATGTGTGTATCTCCATTTGTTCAAAATGAATTTTATGTGCTGGAGACCAAAGAATTTGCTACAAACTATACTCATCGCACAATGAGTGACCATTGTGAATCAGTACCTTAGTGAAAAACGCTCTGGTGTTTGAAGTAGTAGGTTTTGAGCATTAGTCTCAGCAGGAACAACATCACCTACTGGGAGGCAGGTACATCCACTTTAGACACTCATAGAGTATGAAGCAAATGGTTTTATTTCTTTAGTCAGGTAGAAGGATCCAAATTATCTCGGTTTAGGTCCAAGTGACAACAGAAATCAGTTGCTGAAGATCATAGACGATATCGTTCAGACTCAATGTCAGTGGTGGAGATGTATTCACACTATCTTCATTTTAACCGTTACAATAAATTCAGGATTTTACCATTCCTCTTTTCACCCTTTTGCTTCATTCAACTACTTTTGATTAATTTCTCTTTCTTTATTCATCTTTCATCTTACTACTTTGTAAGTTGATGTACTGTTTGTTGTGAAGTGTGGCAACTTTGACTGTTACGCAATAATGACTGGTCCAATTTGGATATTGATGACGAGAATTTCTCTTTTGTAATACCTTAAAACTTTAAATAATTTACATCTTTTCAATAAGAA